TAGCTTTGTTATTTTTCTGGCTTTTTTATACCTGCAAACATGCGCCGAAAATTTTAGAAGATTTTTTTAGCTTAAAACATTTGCGTGAAGCTCATTTGTAGCCTATCCCCCTTAAACGAAGCCGCTTTCTAATCCCATGCCCCCATCTTTGCGCGCGAATTAGGCGAATGCCCATGGGGTAGAACGACGGCACTGGGTTATCGTCGATGGCCATCTACCATTCGCCGAAAATGAGGACAGCCCACTCCACAAGACAGTTATACCCATTAGTGTTTTTTGGAGGGGAGGTGTTGGGGGAGAGTGTGAGCGACTGATTGATCTTGACGGGTTCGTTCGGGAAAATTGTATTCTTTGGACTTCGTGCGGAGTATCTTATAAATTTTGTTAGTCAGCGTTTCGTTAGATATGTGGATTTTCCAGGGCTGTTGAACTTATTTATTTAACGTTAAGTAAGGTCAAAGTTTACTTGATTTTTACGACGTTTTGAATTCGCTAAAAATACCAAAAAAAAAGTTAGAAAAACCACGTCTGCTATTAATATGGCAAATGAATGGCCAGGAATAAATTTTCAGCTTTTCTTAATTTTTGAAATATGTCAAATAGCGTTTTTATAAGTTTTAAGCAGCAGCTGAGTCGACTTACAATAAAAATTGAAGTTGAAAGAACTGTTTTACGCCTTTGGACCGTAGTCGACTTTTCCGGAAGTTCCAACTCACAATACCGCTCGAACGCCCCTGGTCCCGTTACCCCGGGGCTGTCCTTTTGTTGAATAGAGGGAATCGAAAGTCTCCTCATCCTTCTAGTTCTGGGCCATGAGGGCGATCGGATCAACGGGACGACAAGGGGGAGGAGGAGGAGGGCGTCGAGGCGAGGAACTGACCCGGTTTCCCATTTTCCCTCCTCAACGGCTTCTTCTTTTTCTGCCTCCAGGCTTCACAATGGAAAGTCCCGGCTGTGGCTTTTGGTGTTGTTAGGTTTTCAAGTGCTTAAAGTAGATGTTTGGAGCTCGAAAACAGCGTATGGAATGTAAAGCGGCGGAGACAATTCTTTCGGCCGCTTTTTTCAGTTTTTTTAAACAATTTTTGTTCATATAGACGATTCGACAAATCCATTAGTTTGGCCTAAAAAGCCCGGCCCACCTCAATATACAGATTCCCGCCTACACCACCCCCGCCTACCACCTATCCGTGGCACGCCCCATTTCCCCTTGCTCGTTTGCCTCATTCAGCGAGATCTTCGCGACTTGCCCCCGCTGACGACTTGTACTTTCTGGCTTTCATTTTCGGAAGGGGGAGAGGTCTGATTTCAATCTGGGTGTTCAGAAGGAAAGTCGTGATCCAGTCTGACCGATTTTCGGAAGGTGAAACGCTGGTCCGGACGATTCTTAGATATTTTTGAGCCTCACTGAAGCTCTACAGGGTGAGGCATATATATCGCTACACCTCTAGCACGCACAAACTGGTCTGCCGGCGGAAAACTGATTATATTTTCGGGGTAGCCGATGTTTCCCATCAAAGAACTAGTGTCTCTTTATGCAGGAAATACATGTAAATGGTTGAAAATTGTTTCGATTTGGGTTTAGCTTAAAAGGAAGTTCAGCGCTTTTCTCGAAAAAGTGGTGTGTTGGCACGCTGCTCCTAGAACCCCGTATATTGGTAATTCTGCTGCAGTTTTTTTGTATTCTGGTTCAATCGGATCTTATTTATGTTTTCCAAAAGGTTTTTAGTCGGAAACTAGCGAGGGAATTTTACTACATTCAAAAAAGGAGTGATTACCCACCCCTCCCCACCCTTTGGTTGATCACTAAAAATTCATCAGAAAATCTAAGCCAACTGAATATTTGAATTCGAGCTATTTTTTTTGCATTTTAAGCATCCGATACGAGCAATTCCCAATGATAAAACCAAGAAATTGAACGAGTACAGGTCAAAAATTTTATTTTTATGTTTTTTACTATGGTTTTTGTAACCAGCTGAGACAAACTTTTAACTTTCTGCCGAATGAAAAGAAATAAGTTGGTCTCATTGTCTTTTTAGTTCAATTCTAAGTAGTACAAATGTTTTTAGGGGTCATTCGGGTACAAATCAATGTTTCCGAACCATACCGAAATCGGCCGCTAAGGGGTTCCGTGCCAGACCCACCTAACGACGCCCAGTTTTTGCTTCAGAACAAGTGTTTGTAGGGTTGCTGCGTTATAAGATTTTAAGAGTGTCGAAAGGACCCATGTGGCTATATCACAGCAAAATATTGAAGCCCGGCTCGCTTTAATAATTTTTTGGGGGCCCGAGAGGGTGTAGCGATATATATGCCTCACCCTGTAGTTTTGTGCCTAATTCTTCCTTAATGCAAAATGCAAAATCTAGGATTGGTGGTACCAAAATTAAATAAATTCCAGAATCAGAATGCTCTCCTCCGTCCCGTTGGCTCGCCTAATCGAGGCCACCCCGGCCAACAAAGCCCTCTGCGGCGCGTTCTTGCCTACCAACAACAATCCCTCGTTCAGCAGCTTCCAGGTGTGTTAATAACCACCTTATTAACGAGGCTTTTGCTTTCTTCCGCTTTATTTTTACCTTTTTTTTCAGGACGTCTACACCGTTTCCATCGTCGACACCGATGGCACATCCCCAATCGCCTTTGGCGCCATCAACATGTACTCCCAAAAGCAGGTACCACCTTGACACAAACAACTTGACGGTATGCCGCATCGAAAACGAGATTATTTGCCATAAAAATCGAGCCCTTCGGCTGATCCCCTCACCACAATACCACCCCACTTTCCAGGCCTATTGTATGGTTGGGGAGGTTAGCGACAAATACCACAACTCGACCATCTGGTTGGAGGACAAGACTGTCGAGAAGAGCCATGTCGTGCTCAAGGTGAGGGAAATATCGTAGTTGCAGCATCTTACAGGGGAGAATTAGGAATAGATAATACCTTAAAAGTTATGATAATTTGATTTTTGAATAATTAATCGTTATATTTGAGTATTAGATTGGAGCTTTAATTGATTCTTACGATTTTACAAAAACGCTTTTTGCACAGGGAAAATTCGAGCTCATTTTTAGATCTCAAAATCCGAAACCGGCAAGCCTGACCACTCCGGCCTCGGCATGTTCCGCGCCGTGTTCGGAGACCACGAAGAGAGGTAATCAATCCAACTTATCGGAAATATGCAAATTAGGCCGATCGAGGAGTACCTGATGCAATGGATGGTCAACAAGACCGTCGGAAATGATTGTCTCGATTTGAACAAGAACGTCACCCTTGATGTTGTTGGAAAGAGGAAGTAAGACTTTTCACTTGGTCTCTTCAATCGATTTCTTTGCTATGTCAAGATTCTAAAATGCGATTTTTTAGCTTGAATGGATGGCGCGACAACGCCGGATTTGTCGTCACTGACAACCAGCATTTCGTCGAGATGACCTGCAAGAAGTTAGTTTTTCGAAATTCATTTTTGCCAGTTTTCTGAAATAATTATGACTTTGGTGACCCACTCCCTTTAAAATCAACAATTCCAGATCCGACCTCGTCTCCCTCGACACGACTTCTTTTGCCAAGATTGTCCCCTTGACCGCCGAGAACAAGGAGATCCTGATCGAGTACGACGCCACTTGCACGATGCTGGACCGATCCGACTACATTGATGCTCTATTAAAGGTATCAAAAACATGTTAAAAACTGATACTGTTTTGTAGACATCCGACATCCGAGGAGCCCTCGCCATCGATGAGCACAACACCCCCTACGGATACGTACTGACGCTTGGATCCCGAATTCTGAGCTGCTATGCCGAGAAGGAGGAGATCTCGAGGTATCCTAATTTTCAGAATCTTTATCACGAGATTATAGGCAACTTTTGAGCTTTGCTGCCAGTCAAATCACTGCACCGGAAGTGTCCCTCTACACTTGCGAGGAGGCATTCGGATTTATGGATGAGCTGGTCAAGAATGCCGTTAAAGTGACACCGGTAGGTTGAAGTAAAAAAATGGCTTAAAAATCTTTATAGGTCTATAAGAGATCGTTAGTAAAACTCCGAACTCGAAAAAGAGTTGCACTAGCCAAGGACTAGGAAAGTGTAGGCTAGCAATGATTACTTGGGAATCGAAAGGCTAGCATAGATTCTTGAGGAATCAGCAGCTAAGCATGGGTTTTTTTGGAAAAAGAACGTCATCGGAAATTCTTGAGGACCGGAAGGTTAGCAGAGAATCTTAAGGAATGAGTACGCTAGCGTAGATTTTTTTCCTAAAGGTACAACAGCAAATTTCATCGATGCAGAGACAGGCTAGCGGATATTATTAAGGAACTAATAAAGAAATAACGCATAGACCCATATTTTTCAGGTCACCCGCCTCCACACCCGAACCCTCATCAAACAAGTGAAGTGGAACAAGGTCTTCTGTCACAACATCGGGCTCCACCTTTTCTAATCCATAAATACTATATTGTCGTTTTAAGCAGGCCCTATGAACCCAGATTTAACCCACAACAAAATACAGCTTTCAAAAAGTTTTATACCATTTTCTGCATTTTTTCTTTGATTTCGCATCTATCATCCACAAACCCATATGCTCCGATTTCCACGCTGTAATTTGTAACGCTATTCGTGTAAATTACTAAATCGTGCACTCTGTCGTTTTGATGGATAAATAATTATAAAATTAGAGCATGTAAATATGATAGACGAGAGAGCCAGAGAGAGAGAGAGAGAGAGAGAGAGAGAGAGAGAGAGAGTGAGAGAGTGAGGGAGAAAGAAAGAAACAAAGACGGAGAGAGAGAGAAAGAGAGAGAGGAGAGAGAGCGAGAGAGAGAGAGAGAGAGAGAGAGAGAGAGAGAGAGAGAGAGAGAGAGAGAGAGAAGGCAGAGAAGGCATGCATAGAGAACATTTACGGAATCGTAGTGTTTCTTTAAAATCAACAATCACTTCCAACGATTTATATGTACACGTAATCGATATTTGGCGGTCAACGAGACTCCTGAATGGGTCTTTTTCTACACGCTAATAATCAGCAAATTCCGAATAGAATAAATCTTCTTTACAGAGTTCAAACGTCCTACAAACCGTCCGATCTTCACGACGCTGTTGCTCTATTTCCTAAAAAAATGAAAAGTTACAGGGAATCCGGCTACGACCCACATCTAATGACGCCACGATGCTCATCATTTGCATGAGGCGTGCTGCGTAGTTTGTGCGCTTCATCTAAAAGGGCTGGTTTTCTTGCGCTTTTGGACTTTATGGTTAATTCATTTGTTTTAATGAAAAGCTAATATTTATTATTATATTATATAGGTAGGTATGATCACCACAAACTGCCAATTACCGTACCTGTACCGTATAATAATCGTGTACTTCTTGAGCAAGCCGCCGTTTTACGCTATCTGCCATTGCAGCTGTAGTCTCGCTGATTATCGTGTCCCCTAAACTTTGTATTAATATGAATTAATAATAGTAATTTTCATCAATGACGATCTTGTTAAAATCGCAAAAACCAACTTTTCACACTCCACATCGTCTGCAACATGCAAAATACCAGCTCAAAATCGGTCGGCTCCATTCTTTGAAGTTGATTCCCGAGGAGATGCATTTCTTTCAAACACGACGGAGTAATGAATCTACACAAAGTAACATAATACTTTTATTACTTCTCTAAAACGTACTCGACAAACTTTTTGACTTCCGGCGAGTCGCGAGTCCAGTCGGCATTTTTGTGAAAGTCGTAGTAACTAAATTACAATTCCTTAATTAATAGATTTCATGAACTTACCATCCATTATAATTCAACCACAACCCGAGTGGCGGTTTGCCAAGACATCTGGCCGCTGCTTTGTACCGTTCAAGTGCGACAAAGTTGTTCCAAAATCGTTTGAAAAGAGCCCACTAAAAAGTGGGTTATTAGGGGGTCTAATCGTGTCTTAAAATAATGAAAATACAAGTGATTAGAAAAGACCCACCTTCTGATCCTTATCCAAATGCGCAAAATCATCAAGACTCATACAAAACACGGCAATATTTTCAATTTCCTGATCGATATTCATGCTGACCTCAAGAAGGGTGAAGGGTTCGCCTTGTTTCACCTAAATTTTATTGTTAATCTGCGCATTCTTTATAAGTTCATCGCTAAGTAAACAAGCCCAATTGAAAGCGTTAATTTTAGTTGATGAAACCCACATGTTCAGGCGTACAAAGTGGCCATTTTTGTAGATGATCATTGAGTGCTACCAGTCCCTGTTGAATCAATGATAATTTTATGGGCAATATGAAGCTGGACAGGGTGTTGTGCTGAAATTGTGGACACTAAGGATCCGCAAAATTGAATGATTTCCGCAGCTAAGTTTAGCTTTTTTTGTGTGTGAATGTTATACTGAAGGTAGCCTACTCACCGTCTCAAATAGTGTGTCAACCTTGATCCGAAGCGCTTTCTGCTTCTCCAAAATTAGAGACCGCTCTGGTGGGGTGACCCCGCTGACCACCTGGGTCATATCGGGTATACCCGAGCTGGAGGGGCTCGCTTCCTAAACGACTGTTTGGGTTTTTCGTCTTGTAAAAAACGCACGAATCGCCCGGAAGTGGTGGAAGGTGGTGTACTGACCTCGCTCAAAAGGCTCGACGAATGCGAGGTGTCATTTTTATCGGAGGCGTTCGGTTGGACCACTGAAAAGGGTCAATTTCTGGCCATTCGAAATAGTTAAACCGGGATAAAGAGAGAGCGAGAGAGAGAGAGAGAGAGAGAGAGAGAGATAAATAGAAAGAGTGAACGCAAGGGAACAAAATTATCTGACTTACTTGACGGCCGCATCCCTCTATCCAGACATTTTTGAAACCGACAGCACCGGCAGCTGAAGCGTTGTTCTAAAAGCTGTTTTTCTAAACTGCAACCCAATACAACGATTAATTTGTAAATTACTAATTTAATGCAATGATTTATGAGGACTGATATTTTGCAGGAAACTAAGCTATTGTAAATATGGCCTTTTAAGATAACTCTCTTTTTCTGCCGCCTTCCCCCAGCCTTTAAACGTCGGAAATGATGACGGAAACGCGCATGCCGGGGGGTATTTCGAGAATTGCGAAACTCGCTGCGGGCCAGCTCTGGCTAGCGATAAGCGGACCCCTTTGCTCCCTTGCTAGCAAATAATACGTGAAAACGGTCAACGATCAGGATTTGTCATCACTGGTTGAGTGTTTCATCACTAGACCCTTCGATGGTTCGTAAAAAAGTTTGCATCACCGGGGACAGCAAGATCGAGCTGGTTTGTTTCTTTGGTCCTTTTCGACGCTGATCTTTGGGATTTTATTTGCTTGGCTTTTTTAGTTGAAAAGTAACTTACAAAAAATTTAGGCAGGATTTGGAAGAAAAAAATTCGCATAATACAGATTCCCGGAAAAAACTCACTTTTAGTCACATCACAATTGTGCTCCTTCTGACATTTATACGCGAGTTTTAGCACGACAGAACGGCGAAAGAAGGCGGCACCTAAAAATAGCAATAAATTCCGATACAAACGACTCATTTTTAGGCCCCATTCGAGCCTGCGCGGCCCATTAAAAGCGGATCAATTCCATTTTTCGTCGGGGGTGGAATTACTCACTCCATTCGTACACGGACGGAAATTTATGAAAATGCGCGGCACGACTCTGCAGATTCTATGGCCAAAACTCTATGACAAGTATCTAGCGATAACGGTGCGAGTCGGCGTTTACTGTATGCAAATACAAAAATATCAAAATCCAGCAAAAACTTACACGCTCGACAGCTGGCCACCCCAAAGTGCAGCCCACCCGCCTCAAGTTGGCAAATTTCACACGAGAGGTTGGCTCTCTAAATTCAGAAGTTTCTGAGTGTATCGTATCGTATCGTAGCGCAATGTAGCGTACGTACCCTTAACTTTTTTTGCCGTTTTTCAATAGCATGTCGACTATTTCAACACACGATCTTTGCTGCGTTTTTGGTCTTTTTCCGCTTCCTTTCCGCCTTTTCCACCGTTGGAAACCGGATCTACACGGAGGCAAACGTGGTTGTGTGGTTTATGGTTGCCAGGCAGTGGGTAGCGCAAAATTTTAAAGTAAACGCATTGGCGCTAACTGTACGTGTGGTGTGAGTGAGAAATGGGAGCAATGTTTTCTTACGGATCCGGGAATGTTATGGTATTTTGCTCGGGAAATAATACGAAAAATGCATGCTTTTCAAGTCAGGGATTTGCAAAAACACAGAAAACTGCCACAGTTGCAATTTTTGCGCTTATTTAATACAAACACTAGGAAAAGTTTTCCGAATCTCTGAAACTAATTTTTGAAACTTTCGAAGCTTGTTAATTAAGGGATTGTTCAAGATTTGCTACGGGACTTTTCCTTTAGGAAAAATGCCTTATAGACCTGTTTTATCGTGAAAGGGCTATTATAATGGTGCATTAATGAAACTGGCAGAGTAAACTCCGTTTTTTGCGCAATTTACAAAGTATTTACTTTCTTTGGAAGCGTCACAAACAAATAATCTACCAAACTCTATGTAAAAACTACTTACCATCTTCCAAACCCGCTAGCAGTCCGCCAAAAACAGCCGCGTAGAAACCAGAAAAACCGTCAATTAGAAATCAGAGGCCTTCAGAATCTTTCGCCCGTCACTACCCCGACTCGGCCGCTCGAATTGATAATTGTTCTTGTTCCGCCCAAAGTTGATAACGGCCGAGTCGTCCGCCAGGTCGAATCAATGGCCCAGCGTTTTTGAGGAATCACCAGGGGGGTTGTGGTGGAATTGGGGAGTGGTAGAGTGGCGGACTGTTTCAGCACAAAGCACAGAACTTGCCCGCAATTCGCTGGGAGCGAGAGTTCCGCCCGACAACCCTGCCAACAAAATGGGGGCAGGAGAGGAGGGGGGTAGTCGGGGCGGCCAGGCTCTGAGGAGGATTGTTTGCACTATGCCTGGATTCTCTTGAAAATCCACACTCTCTATGTCCTTTACGAGAGCGCTGGCTCAGGATCTGGGGAGAGAGAGCGAGAGAATGCGGGAGAATGAGAGAGGTAAGGCACGAGAAGTGGACTCTGGAGCCCGGCCAGAAAGGTTGCCGTTAACGACCGGAAAGACTGGCTCATAATCGTTCTTTAAACAGTAAGAAATTTTGAGAAGCATTAAAAATTGTTCTAACGACTCATGAAGCTCTAAAAGAAGTTCCAGTGCTTTTAAAATTCACAAAATTGCAACCATGAAACACAATAAATTATTTTTATTGTCTAAAATTCGGTAAAGTGGTTGTTCATCAGATCCGGCGGTACCAATTCGAAGGTCCTGAATGCTGTCCGATCTTCGCGGTGTAGACGATCAACTTCCTAAAGCATTTTAGTTTCTTAAGATTTAGTTTTTACCTCTAAAGCCGATACGATATTCATTATTTGCATCAAACGACCGGCATAACTAGGCTTGTTCATCTGAAGGAAATCGATTATACAGGGTGTCCCCAAAAAACGACCCATCTGGAATTTCGCCGTGTTACATCCGATCGGTCCCAAATTGGACCAGAGGTGTATAAGACCTTAAATAACAACAATCCTGACTTGTAGCCCGGTAGCTAAAGTCGTTCTCGAGTTATAGCAAAAACTAACTTTATTTTCCATTTTTCATAGGGTTTTCGTGGAATTAGACCCCCTAAACATTAAGTGAAAATGACCCGGTAGGCCTTCTTTACCGTAAGAAATTTTTTCCAGAGTAAAATTAATTAAATAAGCTTCGATTTAAGCGATTTTTACAACGCAAAACTGCCCCAGTTCTTAAGCGAAATTAGGGATTCACAGCCGGAAGTCGATGCAAATCGATGCAAAGACCAAAAAGATAGCCGATAAAACTGTTCAGAATTGTGGGAAAAACAGTATTTTCGTTATAACTTTAAAACTATTGTAGCTATGGGGCTGTAAGTCAGGATTATTGTTATTTAGGGTCTGATACACCTCTGGTCTAGATATGGGACCGATTGGATGTAACCCGGCGAAAGGCCAGATGGGTCGTTTTTTTTGGGACACTCTGTATTATACATGGGTCGACGCTTGCATGCGCCGCATAAGCGTGGCTGGCCACGCTCTTCCGGAGCGTGGTGGACCACGCTTATGCGGCGCTTTATGCGTGCTTTTTCACGCGCGCGATTCAACTCCAGATGCAAATCAAAAATTTAAAGGACATATATTTATGATTTCGATTTGCAAAAATGAATTGCCGATACATAACTATCAGGGTCATCTTTAAATTTTGATAAATAAACAAGATAGATCGTCATTCAACTTCTTGTTAATTAAATTCTCGAAAACGGATCGATTTTTGCTTTCATGTCCCTTGGAAAACTTTGATTTTGCATTTTTAGAAGCTTTGCATAAGCGTTTCCGGAGCGTGGCGGGCCACGCTCATTTCGGCGTGGTTTATTAAGAGGCACGCGCGCCAGCGTGGCTCTCCACGCTCCGGAAGAGCGTGGCCGGCCACGCTTATGCGGCGCATGCAAGCGTCGACCCATGTATACTCTGTATATGTTTTGTTAATCTCGTGCACCTCAACTGTATAGTACTCGTGAACTTCTTGAGAAAGTTTGTGCCTAGCCTCGGCGGCCACGGTGGTGGTATGCTCATTTAGGTCAGCTGTATCTGAAAAATACGGAAAACGTCGAGATATTTAAGAAAGTAGGAGGCTTAATGCAAAAACTACTTACTTTTCGTGCTCCACATAATTTGGAGCATGCAAAACACTAGTTCAAACTCGGTAGGCTCAAGCCGGTGTAGCTGGCCGCCCACCAGAATCATTTCTTTCATGATGGACCGGCCGCCATACCTAAATTTGAATCAACTATAATAATTTTCTTGACGCGTCTGTCCGTCCGTCCGTCTGTGTGAAGCCGAATTCAACTCGAAGGGGAAAGGAGCTAGAGCTTAGCTCTCTTCGGATTCGGATAGAGCGTGGTCAGAAACCCCCAAACTGATAAAAAAATTATGAAAAAGTTTTAGTTTAAATTATTAAAATTAACTTTGAAAGTTTTTTCCTTAGTAAAAGGGGTGGTGGATGGAGGTTGGCATGATTTTCGCATAGTGAGCCAGATCGCGCGCGTTTCGTGGATGAAAATTTTCACGGAGGATTTCATTTCTTTTTTTCTCTCATTCCATCCGGTCGGTCGTTATTTTTGTTTTTTAAGGGGATTTCGGCTAGGGGAGGTATCTGTAGCCATCGGGAAGGTATTTAGGTAGTTTTTGAAGGGGATTTCAGCTAGGGGAGGTATCTTAAGCCATCGGGAAGGTATTTAGGTAGTTTTTGAAGGATTTCAGCTAGGGAGGTATCTCAAGCCATCGGGAAGGTATTTAGGTAGTTTTTGAAGGGGATTTCAGCTAGGGGAGGTATCTCAAGCCATCGGGAAGGTATTTAGGTAGTTTTTGAAGGGGATTTCAGCTAGGGGAGGTATCTCAAGCCATCGGGAAGGTATTTAGGTAGTTTTTGAAGGGGATTTCAGCTGGGGAGGTATCTCAAGCCATCGGGAAGGTATTTAGGTAGTTTTTGAAGGGGTTTCAGCTAGGGGAGGTATCTTAAGCCATCGGGAAGGTATTTAGGTAGTTTTTGAAGGGGATTTCAGCTAGGGGAGGTAGCTCAAGCCATCGGGAAGGTATTTAGGTAGTTTTTGAAGGGGATTTCAGCTAGGGAAGGTATCTTAAGCCATCGGGAAGGTATTTAGGTAGTTTTTGAAGGGGATTTCAGCTAGGGGAGGTATCTCAAGCCATCGGGAAGGTATTTAGGTAGTTTTTGAAGGGGATTTCAGCTAGGGGAGGTATCTTAAGCCATCGGGAAGGTATTTAGGTAGTTTTTGAAGGGGATTTCAGCTGGGGAGGTATCTTAAGCCATCGGGAAGGTATTTAGGTAGTTTTGAAGGGGATTTCAGCTAGGGAGGTATCTTAAGCCATCGGGAAGGTATTTAGGTAGTTTTTGAAGGGGATTTCGGCTAAGGGAGGTATCTTAAGCCATCGGGAAGAGTATTTAGGTAGTTTTTGAAGGGGTTTCAGCTAGGGGAGGTATCTTAAGCCATCGGGAAGGTATTTAGGTAGTTTTTGAAGGGGATTTCAGCTAGGGGAGGTATCTTAAGCCATCGGGAAGGTATTTAGGTAGTTTTTGAAGGGGATTTCAGCTAGGGGAGGTATCTCAAGCCATCGGGAAGGTATTTAGGTAGTTTTTGAAGGGGATTTCAGCTAGGGGAGGTATCTCAAGCCATCGGGAAGGTATTTAGGTAGTTTTTGAAGGGATTTCAGCTAGGGGAGGTATCTCAAGCCATCGGGAAGGTATTTAGGTAGTTTTTGAAGGGGATTTCAGCTAGGGGAGGTATCTCAAGCCATCGGGAAGGTATTTAGGTAGTTTTTGAAGGATTTCAGCTAGGGAGGTATCTCAAGCCATCGGGAAGGTATTTAGGTAGTTTTGAAGGGATTTCCAGCTAGGGAGTATCTTAAGCCATCGGGAAGGTATTTAGGTAGTTTTTGAAGGGGATTTCAGCTAGGGGAGGTATCTTGGGCCATCGGAAGGTATTTAGGTAGTTTTTGAAGGGATTTCAGCTAGGGAGGTATCTTAAGCCATCGGGAAGGTATTTAGGTAGTTTTTGAAGGGGATTTCAGCTAGGGGGGGTATCTGAAGCCATCGGGAAGGTATTTAGGTAGTTTTTGAAGGGATTTCAGCTAGGGAGGTATCTCAAGCCATCGGGAAGGTATTTAGGTAGTTTTTGAAGGGATTTCAGCTAGGGGAGGTATCTGAAGCCATCGGGAAGGTATTTAGGTAGTTTTTGAAGGGGATTTCAGCCATGGGGGGTATCTGAAGCCATCAGGAAGGTATTTAGGTAGTTTTTGAAGGGGATTTCAGCTAGGGGAGGTATCTGAAGCCATCAGGAAGGTATTTAGGTAGTTTTTGAAAGGGATTTCAGCTAGGGGGCGTATCTAAAGCCTTCGGGAAGGTATTTAGGTAGTTAGTAGAAGTAGGTGGATAGTTAGGTGTATTACATCAAGGGTAACCCGAAGGCCAGATGGTTACAGTCGCGAAGCGACTGGAACCATCTGGTATAAATATGAATTAATAAATTAACAATATTTCGAAACTTACTCAACGATCTGCTTCAAATGCGTCGATCTGGTCGTCCATTCCAGATGTTCTTCAAAGTCGTAATAACTAAAAAACGCGATCAGTAAATTTTAGAGTATTTTTCAAATCACGTCTGGGTGCTCGGGTATTTGTTTTAACTTACGCTCCATTATAAATCAACACCCGAGTAATAGGCGATTTTCCAAAACATCGCAATATCGCTCGATACCTCTCGAGACGTTGGAAATGACTCCAAAATCGTCGGAATAAGATCCACTGAAAACTAGAAAATATAATTGCTTCGAAATTTACCTTCTGGCCACTCTCCAATCCTGCAAAATTTTCAAAGGACATACAAAATTTTGCGATGTTTTCTATTTCTTGGTGGTAATAAACGACCACCTCGTCGATGGTGAACGGCTTTCCGGGATATACCTATGAACATTTGT